TCGAAGTGATTCCTACAAGTATTTCTTAATAAAAGTCCAAGGTGGCTACTTACCTCGTCGTCGACGTTTCAGAATTTCATTCTTCAACTCCCAGCATCCGAATTACTTCAAATTTCCTTCCATAGAATGTCCGTAAGAACTAGTCTAGAACGAGGTTAAAATTAAAAAAAAAAAAATCATGGGAAGGTCGAATTTTTTGGGTGACAGGGCCGGTTCAACTAACTGGTCATGTCATCGTCTTCTTCCTCTGTTAAAGAAGAAGACGCGTGCATCCTTTGCACCGTCGTCTGAAACTCAAGCTCAATAACACCATTCACATTGTTTCTCCCCTCAATTTCTTCATTAAACTTAAATATATTGTTGTAAGGAAGAGCTAGGGATTGATTTCATATCTTTTCGTGGATCGTAGCCTAAGATATTCTCTTCCATAGTTCGTCCAAAAACTCGTATCTTGCCAGAGATAAAACAAGGGTTTTCTTATTGGGTGGCCGATTCAAAGGTTTTTCAAGGCTAGATTTCTTCATGAAACCTCTACCTTATCCTTCCCTCAAGCTAAAGGAATTGTTTTTTAGGAATGACATTGAGTGTGTGTCCTTAATTTTGGAGAATCGTCCTCGGTCTGCAAGTTATCCGAAAAACCAGAAAATCAATCTCTTGGGTAGCTTGTTCTACGACGTTTCACCTCTCAATTTCTTCACCAAAGTTACTCAACTTCTTCCTCGTAAACTAAATGAATCCTCAATTTGAAGAAAAAGGGACATTAGATAGGAATTCGACACTTACCCCCAATTTAAGCTTATTTTCTTCAATTGAGCTCGTTCCTGAGGTTATTTCTCTTTGTGGTCTTCTAGAAAAATATTCATTGGAGGTTTCAGAAACTGATTGGGATCGTCCTTGCTTGATGAATTATCGGGTATCCTCGGATTGGATTTTCAAATTTTCCTTGAAACTCTTTAATGGCGGATTGGATTGGAGGAATGGTTTCTAGCCACTTTCAGCACTGTAATTCTTGATAGAACTTTTGGGTAATCTTGTTTATATAATGTAGGAACAAATTCGAAGAGAAATGATGGAGAATTTTTCTCGAATTTGGAAGAAATACGAGAATAGGAGACCTAAAATCTGAACACTTATAACTTACGATTGAGAGCTCTACCTTGCTCGATTCTTATTCCAAAATTGTCTTGATTTGGAGATTAAATTTTCAGGATAATTCATTGAAAATATTCTCTCTGATCAATGTGCTATCGACTTCCAGTATTAATTCTGACTGTTGGATCCGATGATCTTTGAACGTTCTAGATGGTGTCCAATTTTGGAGNTTTTTTTTTTTTTTTTTTTTTTTTTTTTTTTTTTTTGCAAGAGGTCACTCAGGAGGTTCGAATTTCGAGCAGAATGACGTCTCCATAATTTTCAAGGTATTTTGTGCCACTTTGGATACTGTATTATTATTTTTTCTAAAAAACCTATAATTTTTCTTAAAATTCTTCATGTTGGTCATTTTTGTAGTTTTTGAGCATCTTAAAATTCCTTATAGATAAGGAATTTAAAATATGGAAATATCCTTAATAATTAGAAAAACTACATTTTCTTGATTTTGGCTTACTTTTTCATTTTCAATCCTTCAGGAAGCCTTAATCATTATAATTACTTTTTACCATACAAAAATCATTGTTTCATACCCTTATTCTCATTGGAGCTAATTTCATTCATTTTTTGGTGTTACAGTAAACATCAAGCAGTCGTGGCCCATTGGTGCAATACATATTTTATTTTCATCCTAATTTGTTACCCTTAAAATGTTAAAACCTAAAATATTACTTAATTGTGAAAGGGTTTTGAGTAGAATGATACCCAAGTAAAAGAGAGTACATGAATGAACCAAGATTATATCCTATAAAGTGACCTAGAGTATAGATGATTAAGAAATGCTTAAAAAGAATTAAAAAGAATTGCACTTTCCTTTTTGTTGGCTTAATCATAAGAACTTCAAGAGTAAATGTGCTTTTCTTTGAGCAATTTTATGTTGGAAGACCTCTTGAGATTTTTCGTAGAAAACATGTAAGCAAAAGACATGCTGGAAGGACTCATATTTGTCTGTGGAGATAGTTTTCACTCTTAGAAGCGAGAAGTAAATAACCTTACAATACTGTCACGGGAATATTAGGGCAATTAACGGCCAAATCCAGAGTTTGAAAGCTTGCACATGGGTCGATACAAGTAGAAACTAGAAACCCAACCAAATTATCAACATCCAAAGAACTATAAATTCCCAAAAGATTCCTCCCCTTTTATTAGACTTAAATATGCAACATAAAAGAAACCCCACAACTCTCAGTAGAATTATTACATGTTAAAGCAAGCAAACATAAAAGAAGAGAGAAAAAAAAAAAGTAGGTTTTGTGGGACCAAAATGAGTGAGGGAGATTTTACTTCATTTTTCCCAAGGGTGTATCAATTCAAACTTCTGCGAATGAAGATTTTTTAAGTAAAATCCATCATCAAATGGTGCCCAAATGCAGTTTTTAATGTTGCATCGTTCAGAAAGCCAATGCGAGTTCTTTGGCCAAAATACTTGAAACGAAGCATGTCCATTCGAACTGTTAAAATTGCACCAATACAAAGTCGTATGCCAAAAGTTCATTTCGAATCTCTAGTGGAATTGGGCTCGCTTGTCCAAAACCTGTTCGTTCAAATCGTCGTCTTTTGACTTGCAATGAGCATTTAAAACTGAGTTTGTTTGATAATTGTAAATAGGCACTTGCCATTTGCCTTCTGGTAATTGCCAATTTTCCACTACAGCTTGTCCGTTGGAACCTGCAAAACATGTGTTGATAATAATGCTTGATTCCAAAGCAAACAATAAGATAATACCCAAGCTTGTTAGAGACTTCATTTTTTTAAAATACTCAAATTTGTTTTGTTGATGTTTAATCATTTGGATTTCGGTTCATTATATAGCAAAATAAAAATAAATACCTATTTAAACAAGCTGTTAAAGCCGCATGAGAAGCTGATCTAAGGTTGATATCGACTTTAAAAATTAATTCGTATGAATGTTTTGAGGTTGGATATCCATATTTGTTGCATAGTTGTGAATACCAATTCTTTTTCATTTACTATTTTTGGTGGACATGAAAAAAACAAAGTTGTGTTAAACATAAACTAGACAGTTGCATTTTCTATATTTTCTCAATTACGGTTCTAGAGGGGAGATTTAAGGAAGAGTTATAAANACATGACAATTGCATTTTCTATATTTTCTCAATTACGGTTCTAGAGGGGAGATTTAAGGAAGAGTTATAAATGGTTGTTTTAACGAGGTTTATCAATTTTTTATAACCTCTAAACCAGGAAAAAAAAAATAGATATGATTAACAGGAATGAGCGTGACGAAACAAAATCAAAATTTAGAGGGCGTGGTCGAATGTTCAAACATCCAAATTCTTCGCTAGTCGATATTGTACGCTTTGTCCACTTTGGCACGTTATGCAATATCGTTTGCTTCACAGTTTTAAATCGCATCTTTAAGGAGAGACTTCCACCCTAAACTTTTCTATTTAACCTAACACCATTACTTCAGATTTAACCCGATATTTAATGCGCAATTACTTTAATGAACCCTTATTATAAATTCCACATTAACTTCGTACCTCATTTATTACCTCGGTAATAAACAATTACGAAGAAAAAATGAAAAACATTATTGAATTAAATGCCCTATACTAACCAATGACCTAATAATTATAAATACAACTGAACCTATACTAACCTATACTTTATTAAATGCAAATACAACTCTGACCACACTCATCTATACTATTGTCAACTGCAAATACAATTTAGCCTATACTAATCTATAATATTGTCAAATAAAAATACTACTCAACATATACTATTAAATTATTATGCGAAAGTATCCTATGCATGTGTCACGAACTCGTGGTTGCGAAGCCTCCGTTAGTCTTATAGGGGCGCCTTGCAATTATGTGAAAAATATAGTAGCACGAGGCTTGAGTGTTTTAAGAATACATCAGTAAACGACCCCCTATCGAGGTTACGATGCAAGAACATGCGAATGCAATCACGAGACCTAGCATTACAGTCTATTTTCCAATGGTACTATCCTAACGGGTAGCTTGGATGTGTACCATATACTATACACATGGCCTATACGTGCGAGTATGGACCCACGAGTCGGTTCGCACACCCCTGGCCCCTTTCCATTGCGGGCGAGCATGCTCTGGTAGCTCCCTATGCCGGATACCCATTAGAAATAGTTGCCGTCACGGCAGCATTACTTAAAACGCGATGGAAGTTATCCTGCCTTGTGGTGTACGCACCCATACCATCGTGAAGGAATACGGGTATCCCCGAATGCATGAGCACACATGAATGCATGAGGTCTCAATATTTTTCCATTTTCAACATTATTAAATATATCCCCCGCTGTCATTTCATTGATATCATACCATTTCTCATATCAGTTATCATATCGTTCATGCTTGTATCGGGATTATATTTCATGTTATTTATCATTCTTCATGTCATTCGTATCATTCTATACATGCAATTCACAAGACATGACGTCACATTTTCATGCTTTCAACATAACGTTTCACAACGCACAAACTAGCTAAATCTAATTATGCATAAAAATTTACTTCTAATTATTTAAACTATCTATGGCTAATTACGCATAAATAATTTAAATTGGATCACAAAAATTTAACTTTAAGTCTAATTATGCATAAAAACTTACTCCTACTAATTTAAACTAAGCATAGAAACTTAGTCCCAATAATTTAAACTTACCCCAATACTGCATAGAAACTGACTCCTAATCGTTTAAATTAGGCCTAATCATGCATAAATAATTTAAACTCGATTCAAAAAATGTAACTAGCTAGAAGGTAGTCATGCATACTAACTTTGAACGCTTTCTAAAAATTGAAACTAGGAGGAAAGAGTCTAAGCGAATCAACCAAAATTTTGGCCTTGAGCCGTTAGAAAGTGTACTCTCTGACTGGCTCGAACCGTTCATTTAGGATGATAAAATGAAGTGGGGGACCTCCTTTTTTTATAGTGGAGGCCAACCCACCACTTCTCAGCTTTAGCAACGTGGCACAAAGTTCCGCTTCTTTTATTTGTTTTTTATTTTTGTTCATACATCATACATGTCAAGAGGAAACTGTCATCCTCGAAAGTGTCTTAATATTGGAATTACTCGGGTACATCTCCTAAATTCTTCCCTCTGTTCCCATATAGTTTCTTTCGTTTCATAGTCTTGTAAAGATCATTTCCCTTGTACA